GCCAGCACCCCATAAAACTTCTAAACAACTTTTCTACTCCTGCCAAACCAGAAAATAAAACAACAAACTACAGATAAACATCCTCAAAGAAACAGATGCAAAATCCCCAACAAAATACTCACAAACTGAATCTTGTAGTACATTTAAAGGATTAATCATCATGACCAAGTGTGATTAAAAGAAAATACACATACACAAACTAAATTAGCATACCTTATAAGCAGAAATGAAGGCAAAACTCTGTATTATCTAAATAGGCATAGAAAAGCTTCAGACGAAATTTCCTTCATTTTAAACTCTGAGTTATGTATAAAAGGATTGTACCTAGTATACTAAAACCTGTATATGACATATATAACAAAAAAATACACGGCAAACCACCACCCATACCATGCTGAATGTAGAAAACCATTTCCTCTAACATCAAGGATAAAACAAGGATGTCAACCCTTAGCTCACTCATTCAATATGGTAGGAAAATCTTGGTCAGAGAAATTAGGAAAGGAAAAGAAATGAAGGCTATATATTAATAAATAGAAATGATGGGACTGAACACATAGCTCAGCAGTTAAGAGCATTTGCTGTTCTTTGGGTTTCAATTCTCAGTAATAACAAAGTGGCTAACAACCATCCCTCTTCTGGACTCCATGAGAACTGGACTCATACGGTATGCTTACTTTTAGGCAAATGCCCATATACTCACCTAAAAGAAATAAATCTTCTGAAAAATGAAACACATTGAAACAACAAAAAATGGAATAAACACACACACACACATACACATCCATGTGTTGGATGACAATTTTGTTAAAATATCTTTACCAACTAAACAATTTACAAATTCAGTGTGCTCTCCATTAAAACAGCAATGAACTTCTTCATAGACTCTGATGATGGTGGGGAACCTAAAATATATATTGGAGCACAAAGGAACCCAAAGAAGCCAAAGAAAATTAAAAAGAAAATGAAAAAACAGAACCGGAGACATCACAATACGTGATTTCAAAACACACCACAGAGACATATAACCAAAACAGCAAGGTACTGGGTGCAGAATATTACTCAGATCATTGGAAACAACATAGAGATCCAAGAAACAAACCCACACATCCATAGTGAACTGACTCATAAAAAGTAAGAATAGAACTAAACCTCAGGAAAGATGACCGTAAATGGTGCTGGGAAAATTACTCACGGGCAGAATGTTAGTATTTGACCTCTTCCTCTCATCCTGCAACGGAAAAAAGACCTAAATAGAACACTCAAAACTCTGAAACTACTAGAAGGAAGTGTAGGTAAAATTCTTAAGACACTGGAACAAGCAATGGTTTCTTTTTAAAACATATGGTTCCAACAGCACAGGCAACAGAGCCAAGTGGGATGACACCCAACTCAAAAATCTACACAGTGAAGGAAACAGTCAGTAGAATGAGAAACAACTTCCAGCCAGGGAGGCCATACTTGGCTACTACTTCTCTGACAGAGGATTGATATTGAATATATAAAAACAGCTCAAAATTAGCCAAAAGAGCCAGCGACCTCATTACAATGAACAAGTGATCCAAATAGATTCTTCTCAAAAAGAAGCAAGGCAAGTGGCCAAAGATAGGTACTTATGTTCAGTACAGCTAGCTACATGGAAATGAAAATCAAGACTGTTATACTGGGATATTAATTTTCCCCCTTTGGAACAGGTATTACTAGAATAACAAAAGCTAGAGAATGTGGAGGTACATTTTCTGTTGGCTGATGGGGATGTACATTAGTAAGCCTTCACGAACAAGAGTTTCTTCATTCTTTGAGTGCTAGAGAACTACGGAAACTGCTCGCAAAGCTAAAATTAGGCCTACTGTGTTATCGAACTGTCCCACTTCTGACGGCATGTCCGAAGAAAAGGAAGTGAGCATTCTTGCGAAATGCGTGCATTTTCAAGTTTCTTACAGTAGTCTTTGCACCCGGCTGTCCAGTGACTGGCTATGATCATCATTGACACAACTGTCTTATGGATCCCTCGGTGTTTGGACAAGTTCAACTTGGAAAAATGTATCGAGTAACTCTAATGTCCTGTTTTATCAGCTGAGGCAATGGGTCTGTCTTTATCCTAACACCAGTCAAGAGCAAATAAATTCCTGAGCAGTTACTTCAGAGGAAGGATGATCCTTCCCGCCTTAAACCTGTCAGCCATTCCAGTAACTCCTGCCCACTCAAATAGCATCGGTATAGACTTCATCCTAGAGACAACTGAAACCATTGTGAAAACTGTCTACAATCAAATATTTGCAATCCTTTGGTTTTGATATCAATTACCCTTTCTCGCACCTTAATGACTTAAGAGACATATATTTAAGATAGTCCATAAAGACTGGAGTATATCTCTTATTTTTTCAGTAATATATACAATGAAAGTAATAGTCTTTGAATTTATACTCCATAGCTGCTGTTAAAATGAGAAAATTGAAAAAAATATGTGAAAGTCTTTCAATATATAAGACATTATTATAATTTTGTGGGTGTAAAAATTCTGTTTCAATTTCTTCATAGACAATATTTAGACATCAACCCCAAACCACCCAAAACAATTTATTATGAAATTTCTGGAAATGTCGCAAGCTTTATTGGAACAAAATTCTCTGTAATCAGGATGCTGGTTAAAATTCCTTAATTTTATGGTCATAAGTTAAGGTCTATGTTTAGCTGATTCTTGAAAATCAGATTCAACAAAAATTTTACACATATGCCATTTCTCATCCCCTCCAGATGCATTTAGTAAACAATTTCTTCACTGTTATTTCGACAGTTTTAATTTATAGACTGATATTCATCCCTCTAGTAAACATGGACAGGATCGATGAAAGAGTTGTTTTCAGAGTCTTTGCATGGAGGGTCTGTTCAATGAATGTTGTTAAGCTCTGATCTTCAAAATGCTGCCTCTCAAGGACATGCCAAGAGATGCAGCTCCCGTCTTTGATGGGTTGACAGACTGCAGCTCTTACCCATGCACCAAATAGGAAGTTGTCAGCTATAAAACACATGCAGTTGTCAAGCTGAGGGCTGGAGCCCATTCCAGACCTCTGTGTCCCTTAGCTGCTTCAGCCGATCAGTCAGCAAGTGTGGCAGCTTACTGAGATAAATGTTTCTCAGACTTTTACATCCTGGTTTCTTTCTTTCTTTTTTTTTCTTTTAACTTTGAAGTAAGTATCTTTGTTACTGTTGTATTTTTATTTTTTAACTTTTGAAATTAAAACATATTTACATTATTTTCTCCTTTCCCTTCCCCCCATCCAGCATCTCCCATGTACTCTCTTGCTTCTTCTCTCAACTTCCTTGATACTAAAACACTTGAGGCCATCATGCAAGATAGGAAATGGATAAGCATTAAGACATTCCAGGAACTTGCTTGCATTTTATGCTAAAAGACAAATTATTGTACATTAGTAATATTTTAATGAGAAGTAAGAAGGATTCAAAGTGGGATGCTTATCTTTTGGGGCCAGTAAAAGGAAATATAGGGCTGCAGAGCGTCAGTTCAAGAGGAGGAAGAAGATGCACAAGGACAGACCGATTCAAGTGTGACAACACAGGGTATGGCCAGCGGTTAGAAGACATAGCTTTGCAGGCTGGGAAGTCTTCTAAGTGGAAGTTCAACGTGAGGCCAACTGCCTAAAGGCACTGAGTCATTTTAGAGCAATAACTTCCAGTTGATCTTTCTTTCATTTTCAACTGTGTATTGTCATCTTTAGGAATTAATCCTAAGAGTCAAAGCAAAGCACATAACTACAAGTAATGCATGTGCACAAGGCGATATGCAAAGGTCCTTCAAGTGTCATGTTGCTATTTAACGTCATGAAGGTTCTTACAGTATAATGCTATACAAAAATAACAAACACCTTAAAGCCTTCATGCAGTAGGATGGACAATCTAGTCCCTTCTTTATATCACTGCATAAAAGGTGAATAAAAGTGAGCTGTGCAGACGTCAACAGAGCTCATCTCCTGCTGTTGGGCTAGCTACCACTGACTGTTATCCTTCTCTACTGATGGTTATCCTTCTCCACGCTTCTGTTTAAGGAATGAAAATATAAAATTCGGGTACTCAGAAAGACATTATTTTGGCTGACGAGGAACTCATTGTATTCTTCAGTTAGATTCATATGCGCGTGGATGGGTTAGCTAACACTGTTCAGAGCATTTATGTGTGTAGGTTTCTTTGCAGTTCTGTGTGTGTGTTTATGCCTACGAGTTTGTGTAACCTCATATAAACTTTGAGAGAAACTTTGTAGTTGATGTTACCAGAATCTCCTTTTGCATTTAAAAACAGAGAGATTATTAACATTTGGGAGATTTTGCTTGGTGTTATGCTTTTTTTTAACCAATGATACCTTTTATTGATATACTATTCCATGCATACTATCACTCTTTTTTTTAAATTTTTTATTTATTTATTAAAGATTTCTGACTCTTCCCCGCCACTGCCTCCCATTTCCCCCCCTCTCCTAATCAAGTCCCCCTCCCTCATTAGCCCAAATTGCTCTTTGGTGTTATGCTTTTAAGATGATACACTTGGAACTGGGAAGATGGCTTAGTGGTTAACAGCACTGGCTGCTCTTGCAGAGGACCTAAGTTCAATGATTCCCAGCACCAACAAAGCAACTCGTAAACATCTGGAACTCCAGTTCCAAGACCACCATTTTTTGGCCTCAGTAGGCACCGCATATGCTTGTGGTGCACAGAAATATAGGGAGACAAAGTACCCACACTTATAAAAGAAGAGAAAAAAATTAAAAGACCGCATGATTTTTTTGCTAGTTTCTTAAAATATGGGCACAATAGTGACATTTTATACATTTGCAAATGCTTACACATAATTAAGTAATTATGTAATTAAGTGTCCCTGAATCTCATCTTCACACTGCTATCAGGGCAGAACTCAAGGCAAGCAGCTTCCCAGCTGTGAACCCTTACTGAGCCTCCCAACAGATGTAAACATTGTTCTCAAAGGAGGAACATTCTCTGGATTTAGATGCTGCAGTTCATTGGCCAGTCTGCAACACAATTAGGAAACATCCCTTAATCTCACAAGTTAAATTCTCGAGACTTTATGTTCCCTTTCAACATCTAAAGAGAACTAGAGGGAGATCGAACTGGCCACTGGAGAGAGCATAACTGTGTGCTGCTTGGGACCTCCCAGCTACCCACAGAGGCCAGCATGTCGTGGGTCCTGCTTTCTGTCCTGTGGCTCATCATTCAAACCCAAGGTAAGTGTGGATATCTTGTAGGAAAAAATCAGATTATTTGATATCAGATTATTTCCATGAGGAATAAAATGACCTTTTCACTCATAATGTAAAAGTCAGTACCATTTGCACAGTATGTTTCTTACGTCTTTCTCTAGTGAAGTATGCTATATACTTACATATATTCACAATAGTTTATGCATACATATGTATGGGTGATGGTACTTTTTAGATCACATGTGAAACATGTATTCTAAAGCCCACTGTATACGTTTTCAAATTTTATATACTTCACTCAATAAAAATCATGTTTATATATGATGTAACATTTTTCCAAATAGATGAAACAAAGGTTGATTATTGCTCCATTTACATTTATACTAGTAAGTGAAATTGTATTAATATAGTCACTAATCAAAGCTATTTATGAGTTGGTACTTTGGGATATTTCTCAGTAGTAGGAAAAGATTGTCAATAGTAGAAGATAGTCCAAAGAAAAGTTGTGGAACTGTAGCTCTTTCTCCATCTGAAGCTGATTATTGAGGTATTAACAACTTGATAACAATGAACTAGAAGCTCTTTTGCTACACCATGTGTATTCTAAGTGCACCGATGCCATCACTGGTTATCTTTCTAGGGATGGTTTTGCAATAGTGTTAAAAAGTCAAACACTGGGAGCCTGCATATTTCCATTCAGAAACAGCAGAAGACTGCAGCTAGGGGTTTACCTAAGCTCAAAACCCTCTCTACTTGTTCAGTGCAGGGCTGGCTTTTGTGCGTCTCATGTTTCTTACATTGTTAAGCCCTAGTGAGGTTCCCAAAGAGACTGTAAAGTAGAACAACATTGGCAATACTTGTGTCAGAGAAACATGCATGTTAATGAAATCTTTTTAAGTCCATTTAGTCAGTCCTTGTGAACTCTGTGGTCGCAGTTATGGCTGCAGTTTGCACAATAATTGAGTTAAGTGGCACACCTCTAATGAACTCTGATGGCTGTCCTAAGTAAGAATCTGTCTCAAAGCTGTGGAAACACAAGCATCCAATGGTATAATTGACCTCTGTGAACAATTGCAAAATTTCAAAAAAGAGTGTATGTGTTTTCCCACAACAGTGCTTTAGAGTTTCATACAGTTTATGTGTGCAGCTTTTATACTAGTCTATATAGACAACAAAGGATAGAAGGCAAAGTGACTGTCATTAAGCCTTTTACCTAGGACAGCAAGTCACGTCTTCTGACTCTGAAACCTTTCTTCCCTTACCGTGTGCAAACAAGAGAAACTCTCTACCTTGCACAACTTAAAGTTACAAGAAGAAGATCCTTTTACTATAAAAAAATTTCCCCACGTGCTCTCTGTTCCTTTAAATTTTCTCTGAGGAAGAGTTAATAAGAGCTTTTATAGCCTGTGAAACCTACAATTTTGAGGGTAAAACTGTAAAGAAAGATGAGCTTGGCTTATTGCCCACAGAGGAATGAAATCACTGGGAATAGGGTCTCTCCTAAGTAAAGTATTACTTGCATGTGGGTATCTTCGTATTCAGAGAGAGAGAGAGAGAGAGAGTAGTCAGAGAAATTGCAATTGAAAAGGACCTCAAAGGAATGCACTCAGTTACGACAGGCAGAGTCCAGATTTACCAATCAATGTTCTTATGAGCTACTTCTGTACAAAGAGGTGCACAGTTTTCCATGGTGTGCTAGAAGTTAGGGAGACAGGAAACAATCCTTTGTCATTAAAGCTGAAGCAAGGGAGCAATCTGTTTTGAATGGTCAATTCATGTCCATAGGACAAGGCAATCAGCCAAACAAACCCAAACCCTGTCAGCCTTTCTTATCAGTGTTTTCTGGCTTTCTCTAGTGATAGATACAAAGTCAAGCCCCGAGTTAAAGCTCCACGAAATAGTTCATCCTAAAAAACTAAACATTTCACCCAGAAGTGGAACTGAGAACAACCAGACAGAGAGATATGGCAAAGAGGTAAGTCGTGTTTCACCATCATCTGAGCATCCTGTTCCCCAGCCTCCTTGCTCTCTGGGAATCAAAGAGAGTTGGCTGTAGACTCCTGTTGTAGAAATCCCGACTTCCTCTGAAATCTAGAAAAGGGAACCCCCAAACTTCCCTCTTGAGACCTGTTTGCCATGCTATCTATCTTTGGTGTGGGAGAGACACGCAACAGTTCTAGAAGGAGACTTTCAGTTTTCAGAGTTCTGCCTTCTCTTTACCAATTCCCCAGTGACTACACTTTTCTACAACGTAGAAGGTGTTCTACCACATTGCCGATATTCCCTCTTCATAATAGTTCTTATTTAATTCTTAGTGGATTTTTAAAACCATTTTAAAATATATTTCAGTGGAAATGCATTGCAAGAGACGATGATTTCATGTCCTGTTAGTAATTTACTATGGTACACAGGACAGGATAATATACATTGATTTGCTAATGGCAAGTTTCTGTGTAACAAATTAGAGATGGATTGATGTGTGTAGCTGTCAGGTGATTATATTTTAGGAAGTCCTTTTATGTGCAGATTACATTTTTAGATATAAGAAAGAGATAAAATGGAGGAGAAATACTTCAAATTTTTGTATCTTTGCTATTGCAAGGTATAGTGTACATAATTGACACGTTGTAATATTTATAATTTTATATTGACTGAGAATTATGTGCTTATAACTGTATCATTAAATATTTTCAGGAAAGATTTGCTCCTGAAGTTCAGTATCAGATCATACTAAATGGAGAAGAAATTATCTTTCACCTAAAGAGAACCAAGTAAGGACAATTACTTCCTGAAAACCCAGCCACTGGTTATATTCTCAGAACATTGGGAAACTTCTCCTTGGCTGTAGCTTCATTTCTGTGGCTGAGATAAAAATATCCTGGCAAAAATCACACTGGGGGAGAGAGGGGTTGCTTTGGCTTACAATTCTTGGCTGCAGTTCCTCATTGCACAGAATCACAGTGTCAGGATCTTGAAGCAGCTGTGTCTCAGCCACAGTCAGCAGCACAGATAAAAATGCAAACATGTTTCCTGCTCAGCTAACTTTGCCTACTCCTTTGCCCTCTGAGGACCCATATCCAGGAATGGTGTCTTGGGATTCACTTCAGGCTTGGTCTTCCCACGTAAAATAAGGCACCCAGGAAATCTCCCATAAATGTCCACAGGGGATTCAATGCCCAATAAGAGGCAGGAACAATAGGATCTTCAGAAGCTGGCCCGTCTTACACAGTGAGACAAGAGGCAAGCATCAGACCCTGTATCAAAAGAGGTGGGAGGCAAGGGCTCACAGATGGGTTTGTCTTCTGATCTCTGTGTGTGCGCTAAGCCATATGCAATTTCACACAAACAAAGACGTACAGAGGACCCCTTCCCAACCCACACATATGCAGGAATTATCCCTAAGCCTGAATCAGGGAACACAACCTAGCAATAAATTCTAGGGGAAGAAGAAAGGGGCACCACAGTTTTCTAACAGTCAGTAAGCCTCCTTAGTTGGTCTCTTATCGACACCTGTGATTCAGCCCCCTCCAATGACTGTGTCCTTGCACCAAAGAATCCCATCAGCCCTCTAACCACTCATGGTGGAAGAGGAATCTGCAAGGGAAAAGTAATAGAGTGAATTTCCCCCTTTGGGGCTGATAAATGTGACTACATGCTTTGACTTATTTTAGTAGAGAAGTCCCAATGTTGGGAAAAGATCAATGGTCAAAAGCCAGCTAGGAGCCGGGCGGTGGTGGCGCACGCCTTTAATCCCAGCACTCGGGAGGCAGAGGCAGGCGGATCTCTGTGAGTTCGAGACCAGCCTGGTCTACAAGAGCTAGTTCCAGGACAGGCTCCAAAACCACAGAGAAACCCTGTCTCGAAAAACCAAAAAAAAAAAAAAAATCAACTCGGTGGCACTGTATATACAGTTATTCCCATAGTACAGAAGAGAATGCAGAGAAATCAGTATTTGCTGGAATCAGGAGTGCAATGTGTACCTGTCTCCTCTCCACAGGCATCTTCTGGGGCCTGAGGACACTGAAACATCTTACTCACCCAAAGGAGAAGAAGGGACCAGACGCTCTCAGGATGTGGTAGGCTCCGAATCCACCCTGGGATCTGCCATTTATTTTGTAAAATACATAGGTCCGAGGATGGCCTTTAAATGCAGCAAGTGACTTGAAAGAGAAGGGATTATCCATGGCCAGGGAGACAGCTTTTCAAAGAGAGGAGTGAACACACTAACACTCGTCCACACAATGCTAATGTACCTACACACTCAACTAGACATCCCTACATACTTAACCAAAGCCATTCAAAAATATTTGTTTTTTAAAATTTGCTTATTGTGCACGTGTATGTGAAAGGTCTAAATTTATACAATACGATCTATTTTCTATTCTAGAAACCCTGCTACTATGAAGGCCACATCCTGAATGCAAGGGACTCTCTTGCCAGTATCAGTACATGTGATGGGTTGAGGTGAGAACTGTCATAGAACATATTAACTACTAAGAGACTCTGTAAAACAGTCTTGAGACTTCCCCGTGTCTTCTCTTGTCTTCATACTTTTTGGATTGTTTGCACTAATCCCTAACCCACTGGATTGTTTGGCTAAGCTGATGAACAAGCTATCCTGGTAGGGTCACTTCATTTCCTGTTGTTCCAGGAGTCAGCCCCAGCTCTGTAAAAGCCGAGCACTGGACCTCAGTGACATCTGTGTCCATTAATTACCAAGTGCTTCTACCTCACTCCTGGAACCTATTGTGTCAAGTTTTCTTAACTAACATGCCCTATGTGTAGTTTTTTTAATGTCTTGTGTGATTAAAATGTGAAATAAATCATGTGATTGATTCCTAGCATGGTTCTTACTGAACATGACATCACTTTTTCTATATTATAAAAATCCCTCCAAGGACATAGTTTTATTGGCCTTTACATGGCTTTACAATATGTCAACATATGGAACAACTTCCTGTTTCTAAGCTGATTATCTTCATAGGAAAAGAGTCTTTAAGTTATTCTTGGTCCCGATTTGTTATGCAGCTGTTCTGAATGAACCTCTTGGTGTTCTCTCTAGGGTTCTGGGTGTCTAAATAGTCATTGACTGCTTTCTTCACTCTATCCATAGGAACTGCCAAGGAATAGTGGATAAATTAAAAAGCAAACAATAGGAGAATATTTAATAGACTCAAGGTGTTAACTCCAATTACTCTGGAATTGCTTCATTTAGTAATTCTTGCGGCTACTCTGGAAAATGATATAGACTTCCTTTCTTTTTTTCCTTTTTTTCTTTTTAATTGAAAATAGCCTTTTTTCCTCATATACTGTGTCCTGATTGTGGCTTTCCTCACTCAACTCCTCCCAATTCTTCCACCATCTCCATCCATCCAGTTCTCCCGCCTTTCTTTCTCTCATTAGAAAATAAACAGGATTCTAAAGAATAATTATACTATACTACACTATAATAAAACAACAACTAATACTTAGGGATAGGATTTTAAAAAGCAAAATGAAACAACAACAAAAAAAGAGAAGGAAAGAAGTCCAGGAAGAGACACAACAATTAGATACATTCATCTGAATACCCAGACCAGTGGGTACCCACTCATTCTCACCCTCAGGAATCCTGTTTAAAAAAAAAAAA